GGACCCGTAATATCTAGTTCTCCATGTGGATCAAAAGTTAGAATTTCTTAAAATTCGTATACGCAACTTAAATTTTTTTTGCTATCACAGTTTCCATCTGATTTGGAGATGTCATTCAAATTAATTATTGTGAGGTGAATGACACGTTATCTAACTCTTCAAGTTTCTTACTTGTTTCTCACGGTCTATTTCTTGTTTTTTGTTCTTTAAGATTTTTTAAATTTAAAAATAATATTTCACATAAAAATTAGCTTTTCATAAGGGGAAAAGTTTTAGTTTCATACATTATATGTACAAAATCTTTCCACTTTGAGAAATTTAAGAGGATAAAAGTTAGAAATAAAACTTTAAAATCTTAATTTTTAATATAAGTTTTTAGCTAAATATTTGTTTAATTTTTTGGGTAGGAAAATGTAGCGGAAGAATTAAGCCACATGGATAAATTGAAATTTCTACTCACTTAGGAGAAAATAGAGATGCTTTTAACCTTTTTTTTTCCTCTAAATTTTTACCAACTCAATAATCATGTATGCAAATTTATCATCAGTCAATTTCAATGTTCATTAACAAAAAGAAAAAAATTTATATTTAAAAGATGTTAAAATATAGGAAAAAATACATTTTGATCCCTGAGGTTTGGAAGAGGTGTCTATTTAGTCTCTGAAGTTTCAAAATGAACACTTTTAATCACTGAAGTTTGAAATATGTGTCTATTTAGTTCTTGAAATTATAAAATTGACATCTTTGATCCCTAAAGTTTAAGAAATGGTTCCAAATAGTCCTTAAACTTACTTTGATTGTTAGTTGAGTAACATTGAGATGATGTGACGGTTAAATAGATGATTTGGTAAAAATATATTAATTTAATATTATTGTCCTGGTTTCTAATTTGCTTTGTCTTCCTCTGTAGCTCCATGAGTTTGTTTCTTCGATTCTTCTATCAGCAGCGAATCCCCGTCCTCCATGTGACGAAAGGATATTTGATGTTTTACACATCGTGGTTAAAATGTATTTCATGTCACATTTAACAAAATATTCATATGGCAATGGCATCATAATAATTTGTGGTTTAAGCCAGATATATTGGATTGGTATTTAGTTTTGATACTGTATAAAGATTTATGAAAATGTAATATGAAATTTCAAAGAAAATGATTGAACTAACTTCTTAGAAAAAGTCCAAATAAACCTTTTTTTTTCCTTTTCATTTTCCAAAAATATTTTAGTGGTTATTAAGGTTGTATTTGAATTTATTTTCTCATGTCTTTCCCACATGATTATTTTTTAAAAGATACAAATATATTTTCGGATATGCTCTAAAATTTTGCTCTTTTATTTTTTAGATTACATGAATAATTCAATATTTTAAAATGTGTATTTATATATTTATTTGGACATATATCATATTCATCTTATTATTTAAAATTTGAAGTATTTGACAATAATATTACTGTTTCTATAATTTAGAAGTATTTTATGATATGGTTGATTTGATTATTTCTTTAAAGAAAAGTTAAGAATTAAAAATAGAGGTAGTAATATAAACTCTAAGAAAAAGTATAATAGTAATCAAATATAATATAAAGTCCATTCTTTCCATAAGTATACATGCCCTTTTAATTATATTTTTATTTTTATTTTTAAAAATTATCGAAAATATAAGGGTGCGTTTTGTTGGTGATCGAAAAGCAGAAACCAAATTCAATAAAAAATAGAGTTGTGTTCCATTTAGTGTTTTCGAATATATATTTAATAACAAATTTCTAAATTGAATATCAACTTAAACAAATGGTTAAAGGTGTGTTTAGTAATATAATTATAAAGTAGATACTAATTAGATATCGAGTTGAATCTAAAATATTATTAATTAATTTATTAACATATATATCATAAATTTTGTATAATATTTTATGATGTTATATAATCTATAGTATATTTTACATATTCTAATTTTAACAAAAATAAAATGGATTTATAATATGAAATAGTATATATAAAACTTTTATCTTTGTTAATGTAGTTTTGTATTTTAAAGTTTTAAATTCAAAACTTTAAAATACTGAAACTTAAAAAATGTCGTTCTTAGAATTTCCACTCTTACATATATTTATTGAATTTATAGAACATTGACCAACTCGTACTTATATATAGTATCTATTAAGAAAGCTTAAATAATTGAGTTAATGAGGTGGAAGGTACGTTAACTAGTCAAGGTTTGTTTGACAATATTTATATTTTTTTATGCTCTTTCCAGCCTCTCTTCCGCCCCGTTCCTTTGAGATATACTCGGAGGGACCTCTAACGCTATGTTTCACTTGTAAGCAACTACTCTAATATAGTTAGCCAAACTATTAATAAACACATGCACACACGAGATCCACACACCAATAAGGTGCTATTATACCCAACACACTTCAATGTCTAAGTCATACAAAGAATTCAATTGAAAATATCAAAGAGTAAGGTTGTGAAAACGTACCTCACACCCCAAACCTCTTCTCTTATTTCTAGACGGAGGCTCTCGAGTTGGCTCAAGTGATCCAGCTCGATGAAGTCATCTCTACTCCAGTGGCCACATTGCTTCTTCAACCTGACTAGCATTGATTTCACCTCTACAAAAAAAACTTAGATAAGTAGATGACAAATTCGAAATTTACACACATACCCTTAGTATTGGAATAAAAATAATTGCAAATAAAGCAATTAAAATTGAAAATGAATATATTTATAGATAGATAGATAGGAAGGGAACGTGGGGGGCGAGTGGCGTCAAACGTGGATGGGCTTTTTTTTTACGTTAGCCCACTAAGAATCTCGTTTTCTGGGGCTGACTCTCGTGTGACGCACCCTACGAAACCTTCCTGTGTACGTCACTTAGAACCAAAATGTGGGCCCCACCCCAATTGCTGGATCTGACCGTTCAACCATATCCTGTGGGACCCTCTAGATAAGGGCATCATCTCATCTCTTGTTTTAGTTTTAGATTCTTTTTCCCAACTGGACCTCACCCAACTAAAAACTAAATAAAAAATTACAAGTTTACTTCAAATTATCTAATCAGTATTTGATGATTTGTTGGGTAACCTTCTAATTTTTTATTTCTGTTTCTTTTTTTTTAATAAAAAATGGGATTTTATTATTAGTACATAAATGTAATAATAATAAAATAAGATTTTTATTTATGTTGAAATAAATTGAATATGGGAATAATACACAAGAAATTTGTTGTTTTTGTTGTTTAATTTTCAGTTTTGTGTCTATAACCCAACTGATTTAGGCATCTATTTTTGAATAAAAGGTCAGATAAAGAATTGAAACTCCAGGATGTTTGAGATGTCAATTACTGCTGTGCTCACTTTACCGGTTACCTCTTTTTTGTTAGGCATTTAAAGATTTAATGAACATAAAATTTAATTTAAAAACTAAATTTGTAACTAAAAAAAAGTGGGAGCTAATTAAATTAATTGGTAAAAGAAAGGATTGGTGGGGAAAAGGAGGGGGGATTCACGGGTGGTGGGTCCCACCCACTAATGAGAGTGGTGAAAAGGGAGGGCCCCACCAATGGGCATGCCCCCCCGGGGTCCACCTGCTTCTCTGCTTCCACTGTGGTCCACGTCGGTTTTTTCTAGAAAGGGACCCATACCCGATGGGTGGGCCCTACTTTTTATTTTAATTTTATTTTATTTAAATAAATGAATTCGTGGACCTTTTTTACTTGGTCGACTTCCAACTCAAGATTATGTATGAGAATTTTGATTCGATTTGCCTTCTTTCTCTCTCTCTCTCTCTCTCTCTCTCTCTCTCTCTCTCTCTCTCTCTCTCTAATTAATTCTAAACGTATCATACATCATAATCGGAAAAAAGGCCAGACCATTATGAAAATAAATCTCAAGCAGACTTTATCTCTAGTTAGAATCTAAAACGAAAGCTACCTTGTAGTAGCACGAGCATACACTTCTCTTCGAAGAAGGTGTAAAATAACCCGAGTCAAGTAGGGTATCATACCTATGCATCTTGGAATTATATTCTTTCCAAATATGAGATATAGAGGTCGTCCAAGCAATTTTTCACACTCTATATCTAGGTGAACGACCTCTACTACTAATACAACAGATTTATGCTAGCTATGTATCTCATAGACAAATATTATACGAAAACCTATAGACGAAATTATACCACTCCAAACAAATTTGCTAAACATACAATCAAAGAAGTGGTGGTTTCGAGTCTCAATCTCATTTGAACGAAGGATACAAGAAATTGGATGAGAAGAACACCAAGACTTTTTAAATGGTGAATTCGCATAATGTTGTATGAAGGAGTAGACCAATCAATTACTTGTTTGTTCGATGACATCAGCAGGGTTGTAGAGCAAAGAATGAGTGGAGATTATAATGTTGTTAGGATATATTCCATTTGTTGATAAGTTCTTTTTTAAGAAATAGACTTTCCATAAGTTTCCACATGACGTAAGTGCCTTTGGGACCATTACATCAGATCTTTGATAATGTTGTATTTGATGGTCATTGTGGTGATAGGCTCCACTTCTACGACTTTCATTGGTCATTCCATTGTCAACTCTTATATGTTTCTACAATGGCTTGAGGAACATTCCGATGTAGATACTTTACAAAAAAAATCGAATTATTCTTATAAATCAACATAAATATTATAAATGTAGGAAGGAAAATGTAATTATGAACCATTGAAGGAGAAAAGCAAGTTGCAACCCTCACCGAGTCTAGTGGGCCTTCCTTCAATTTCATTGTCAATCAACTCTTCTAGTGGTTAAAAAAAATGAGGATGACGTCATAATGGACACTTGTCAATTGTACAATGGCTCAATCGAAATCATTCATGTCCAACTAACCTCATAAATGAGGTCATTAAAACGTAAAAAGGTAAAATATATCGACTGGTCCCTAACTTTTTAAGTAATATTTAATTTGATCTTTAATTTTTTAAAATTCTCAAGTTTATTATTAATGTATTAAAATTATTTAATAATAGATCAACTCCCTTTTTAACACGTTTTAATAATTCTTTTTTTTATGGGAGGACTTAATTGGAAATTATAAAAAGTCAAGGGCAAATGAAAAACTGCCTATTAGGAACCATTTAATACATTTTAACCAAACTAAATTATAAAAATTAACACACCCCACTACAAAATTACCCAAAAAAAAAATCTTTGATCAACACCAAAAAACAAGTGATTTATATTGAATATGTGAATGATAATTCAAAATTATTATTGAAAACCCATATTTAAAAAAAAGGCAACCCTTGACAAGTTTTCCCAACTCAAAAAGACATTTTATTTTGCCAGCAAAATACCAATATACAGTGCTAAATTATTATTTCAAAAACAGTTTAACGGCAAAAGAAACATCACTAAATAATTCTACAAAGGAAGTGTAGAAGAAGAAACCAGAAGGGGAAGACTTTGAAGCTTCAGGGAAGCAATGTTAAGTAAAAACTCCAGTTTTCCTCCCATCTCATGAAGCTGACATGTAAGTATATCTTGTCTGAGCTCCAACAATGAGCTCCACAATTTTAGCTGCAAATCAAGAGAGTAAAAATCAGTCATAATTGATTGGAAGGAAGAAATTTGGAAACAGCTGCAAAGAAAACTATCTCAGATGTACTGCAGAAGAACCTGTGAGAAATCCAACAAAAGGTACAGGTTCCAGAACTTGTTCGGTTCTTTCGAGTTTTCGCCTGAAAAAACAATCAATGGAAGTTATCTTCACTTCGAGATTCCAAGTTCGGAGTTGGGGACTAAAAAGTGTAAGTTAAGTTACAAGTTTGGTCTCTGAACTTTCAAAAATTCTACATGGCTCTTGTACTTTAAAAAACCTCTAATAGATCCCTTTTAACTTTCAAGTCTCTATCATTGATTTAATTAGTTTAGCCATTATGCAGTATAGTGACTAAATTATTTAAAGATTATATAGCGAGTAAATTTGAGCATATTTAGGAGTGTTTGGGGACCAAACCTTTTAAAGTATATGGACCAAATAGATATAACAGTGAAAATTTAAGAATCTATTAGAAACTTTTTAAAGTTCAGGGACTAACTAGATATAAACTCCAAAAATTCCGAACCAAACTTGTAATTTAACTAAAATTTCAAATCTTAAACCATGTGTTCACCTTGTGTATCTGTCAAAAAATGGGTCTCTCATCAGGTAAAATGCCCAAAGCATCTTGCGTCTTCTCAGCTGAACCAAAAAATCAAATATGTTGGAGTTATTAAGAGAATGATAGTTTACAAAGCATGGACCCGTCTTTTTGCGAGCAAATACTTTATATGACATCAAATTCATGAGGATAAATGAGAGAACCCCTGACCTCATCCTTCTCGGAGTCGGAAAGGTGCGATTGTCGACCTTTTATACTTGCTGAAGCTGAAGAAGCATATGATAAAAAGCTCATCCCGATGAGGTCAACAGCTAGAGAAAGAAACCAAGGAGTCCATGACCGACTCCCATATTTTCGGATCAGTAGAACATAAATAAGCGGTCTTGTGATAAAAAGAACTTCTCCAGTTACGAAAAGAGCCCCGCGATGACCCTGTTCAGACAAAATGGTCGAAAGAGTTGACCTCTTCTCAGGTATTGTAGCTGTAGAGGCATAACTAAGAGTCAGTAGACATAAACAACAACATTCTAGCACATTGGGATCATAACAAATCACCAGTTGATACAATTACTATGCACCTGGAGGCTTCAACATTGCATTCTGGTGTTGAACCTGGTATGACCAGGTTGGAGACGAAATCAACGGAGCGTTTTCACCAAACCTGCTTAACGCTGACAATGCCCTCCCTTCTAGATTCCACTGGTTGTGTCCATTAAGATATCTAGAGTATCCAGATGCATGACCCCCACCATGGTTCGTAAAAGCATTAGCTTTGTGCTGAGAAGTTGAGGTTGCCAGATGCTTCTCGTTATTTGGCGTTTCGCCTCCTTCGAGAAGCATCTTGTACCCCCTATTCTTGAACAAAGCTAATCTAAATAACACCCTGAAATCAAACGGCTACCAATGAAAAGGGAAAAAAATGCACAATAAAGAAGTCACAGAAGATTAAAATGTGTCTTACTTCATAGCCTCTGTAGCAGCAATGAAGTTCCATCGCTTATCATCGCCATAATATTGTTGTGCAGCAACTTCAATCAATGTTTCCAAGTTTTTCAGAGCAGATATGCACAATGAATAAGGAAAAGAGGATGGCCCGGCTGAGTTCACATGCATTTGGGTTGGAGTTGTTTCGATTATGTGTTCGTTGACTGCGGTGATAATGCCGACAGCGGCAGAAACTGCAGAAATCCCTAAATTAATGAATAATAGCATGAACTTTGCAAAAAAGAACCACATGAAGCATGGCAAGAACTTAAGAGAAAAGAAGCCAGTAACCAGTGTTCATTTCACAAGACGCTGTCAGAAAACAACAAATATACTGGTTCTTTTTCTTTTTAATAGGAAACAAATATACTAGTTAAATTTTACATTTGGTACACACTTCGAATTTATGGAGATACCTCCCAATATTCTAGGTTCAAGCCTCCACGTCAAGAACTTAATAGCTTAAAAACTTAAAAACTCATGTCGTCTCTCAAGACTAGGGAGATCATAACCTCCTCGAAGTGAAAGATCAGGGAGATAGGCCATTATAACATTGTTCAATTCAAAAAGGATTTAGAGTCTTCTTAACTTTCCTCTGTTTTTTAGGGAAAAAATAAATTTTGACATGGGCTAATGTAAATTTGTAGCTTTTGAAAGTGAGACAAGTAAGAATGCCATGCATTTTTCATCAAAGAGAACCAAAGGGCACCACAAAATCCAAGCTAAGAAGAAGCAGTCAAATGTTACCAAAGTTTCACAAAACCTGCTTCTGGTCCAATTTCTGAATCAGAAAATCGTTCAGGAAGAAGCCACGTCAAGCCCTGTACGATATTAAGAACCCTATAATAAGTAATAATCCACAAACTTATACCTGTTATTAATACTCTCAGATCTACAAACAGTTTGACTTGCATCACAGTGATATAACAACAGTTTCAGAAACTATCAAGAAATTAAACTGTTAAACGTCAAACCAACATGTAATCACAAAACACTAGTGCATCATTGTATAATGGCACTATTTCTTTTCTGAGAGAACACCTTTCATTTAGAAGAACAGAAATACAAAATGAGGCCTATAATTAGTAATCAGACTGCATAAGAAAAAATTCTCTTATTTTTTAATCATGCACCAAAGTATCATTTCCATATCTATACAATACAAACATATGAGTCCATTCTAGGAAAGGAAATCTATACAATAAAGAATAATTAATTATACTAAAGTTCCAGTAATAAGTTAGAATTTTTCCCTCAAGTTAGCGCATATGAGTTAATCGCACACACACTCTTACGAAAATAGATAATTTGAGCTGCACTTAGAGCCTTCATGAAAATATCACCCAATTATTCTCCAATCTTAATAATAGAAACCAAGTCTTGTATTTTCCCACAAACAAATGGTAATCAACTTTTACATGTTTAGTTTCATTTATATAATACTAGATTGGGACTTATCAACTATTATTTGTTTCCCTTTCAAAATAATAACAATAGTAATAATAAAAAATAATAAAGGAACTGCAATGTTTTCGAGGCGCAAGGCACACCTCAAGGCGACAAGCCCTTTGATCGACTTGAGGTAAGAGGTGATACAAAGGCGACACCCGAGTGAAGCGAGGTGCACCTTAATAAATAAATAAAAATTATATATATAGTGCATAAATTTATATAGTAAACATAGTTTAAAAAATCAATACCAAAATAGTGTCATACTAATATCAACAAGATACATAAAACAACCAAATTCAATAAGTTTAGTCGGAGACGGAAGCGGCGAAGGTGGTGGTCGGAGACGGGAGCAGGCGATGGCCGAAGATTGAGGGTGGTGAAGGTGAATGTCGAGAGGCAGAGAGAATGGTTAGGGTTTGTGCATTGAGGTATTTCGCAAGGGAGAAAGGTTCTTTTAGAAAAACACATTAAAATTTTTTAAAAATAAATCAAATAAGGCAGATCGCCTCGCTTCAACGAGGCGATCGCCTGGCCTCAGGCGAGATTGGAGGCACTCGCCTGAGCACCTTGCGAGGCGCACTTGGGCGAAATCACCTCGCCTCTCGCCTTGGGCGAGCACCCAGGTGCGCCTCAATAACACTATATGGAAGTAATATGAAGGGCAGCTTGATTAGCTAGCATAATTTGGCTAGAATCGAGATACGGAACCCTAACTTAATCATAGGATGATTATTTATTCATGTACTTCCCCACACAACTGTTGCCATTGATCTACATTTTGTAATAATACTCACTGTAAGACTACACTCTCCTTGCTCTCCAAGGGACTTAATTGCCTCCCACCAGTTGAACTTTGATCTTCCTTTGTTCCTTGCCCTGCCCATTTAAGCAAATGGAAAGCATCCAACCTTGATATGTCCATGATCTTTATACAAAATTCCACCAACAAAGTTCTACTTTCAAATGTCAAAAAATTGATTGAATATGTCAAGTCTGATCAAGTAAGGTGATTTGACTTCTCAACCAGTCTATTATATTTCTCTCATAGAAAGGTAATTTCAATAGGTTCTTCCATAAGGACTCCTTGAAGACCACCGTGAAGAAATGAATTCTTAACGACAATGTCTAACTCACATGCAGGCCAATGTGAGCAGCTACCATGAAAATGAATAACCTGCCAAATTTTGATTTAGCAACTAGAGAAGCATTGGATTAACCCATTTTAAGTCTCACCATATCTTTTGACAATGCAACTTCAAATCAAGTAATTGATCCAAAAACTTGTTTGCATCCCAATCCAATAGATTTCTTCCTTGCAGGTTAATGTATAAAGTCCTAAATAAGAATATTATCTAAGGCGTTTGTCCATTCTATCACATTTATGCCATCCAAGATTGGATGAGCTTCTGGAAAAATCTCAAGAACAGAAAGTTAATCAAAAGAAGCAAATAAGGAATAAACAAAGGATGATGGATGGTTACGGAATACCTAAAAGGAAACACACCAGTACAATAATCTTTTGTTTTGGGGAAAGCAACGAAAATATCAATATATCATCCCGGTCTTATAGCGAATAATCTAGGGAGTGAAATCAATCAATGTTGTTTTTAGAGATGTACATAATACCAAAAAAGTCGAAATTAAACCAAATCAAACCGAACTGACTAGTTTGGTTCAGTTTTTATGCTACAATTGGTTCTATCGATTTTAATTGGAAAGGATTATTTTGGTGTTTTGTCCTTATTAGCATTTCGACTGCAGTCTGTTCTTATGCCCTAACTTCTACTTGGTTCTTTTTGGAGTTTGGTCTTCGCTCTTGATGCTAAGGAAGGTTTCTCCCTCATGCGGTTGTTGACCCTAGAATTAGTTTGATTTCCCAAGCTCGGCAGCAAGCAGTTTTTCTGAGTTCTGTTTTAGAATGCTTTTATCACTTTTGAGCTTGTATTGCTCTTGTTGCTATATTTATTCGTTATTTTTCTATTCTTCTCTCTCTTCTTTTCTTTTTTCACCCATTGGGGGTTTTGTATCTTGAACATTTTTCCTTTTTCATACATCAATGAAAAGTTGTTTCTTGTTAGAAAAAAAATAAAAATTGGATAGGATTTTTTTAACCCCAGTTGGCTTTCTCTTGTAAATCTTAATTACATAACATTAATGAAATGAAATTCTGTTTCCTCTCCCGAAAAAACAACAATTATTTAGACTAGTATGTCATCAATATCTCTTGACTTGTAAGTACAACAGAGCTAAAGCAACTTGTTTTAAAATCAATAATAATAATAATTTCATCTGACACAAGGTACTTATTAAGACCGGAACAATAACATATACCCTTTCAAATGAGAGCCAAAAAAAATACACTTCAAAGATCTTAGATCCAATTTCATGAAGTGAGGATGAATATCTCAAACAAACAACTTAACCAAATATCCTATGTTCATTAGAATATAATGACTTAGTAAGCTAACAACACGTGCATGGGCTCACCATTAAGGATGAATAAAAGCATGCAATCAATCATAAAACAAACCCTCTACCCGAAGTACATTCATTGGGACGTGCATTTGAAACAATGTACTCGCAGTGTGGACTGTGGAGTATGTTTTGCTTTTCTCTTTCTACCACTCTATTCCAAGATGGAGTATAAAAACAGAGGGTTTGATGAAAAATTAACTGTTTACTCATCTAAGATTGAACTTGGTATTTTAAAGGAAAGATTCAATCTTAACTTTAAAATAAAAGATACATAAGTGAGAAAAAACTATCCATTAAATATAACCTGTAGTCACATACAAACAATCATTAACAAAAATAACAAAATATTTAAATCCAATTTTGAATGTAACTAAAAAATAACCCCAAACAATAAAATGAACCAGCTAAAAGGAGCGCCGGTACATTTCTTGATTCTAGGACTCAAACTGAAATGATGGTGTTTGGGAAGCTAAAAAGAGTGACAGCCTAAAGAAGATAAACTATAGAAGAAAAAGGATGACCAAAAACAATACTATTGCACTTGAAATTGGGTTAATACTCCAAAACGTGCTATGAATTTTTTGGTATATCTCTATCAAGGATGTAGAAACCTCCAAATTCACATCCTCTACCAATAATCTTCTTCATCATAAGATCCTGAAACAAGCAATGACCGAAAAAGAATGAGATACGAAAATTAAGACCATGGGCGAGTTTCCAAAATTGGGACAAATGAAAAGTAAAGGGGTGTTAGTTATACTAGACTCAAGAACAGACGAGGTAGATCCATCTAGTGACAATAGTTCAAGATTTAGATGTCTAAAAGATTGAAAACAGACTATAATTATCGAAAACGTTAGGTTACATTAGAATCCATGACCTCATTTGGAAAATAACCAAACAAGACATTTATCTGACCTGGTAATAGCAGTGACACAAGTAGATGAAGATTTTAGTGGTCCTTGATACAGTTGAAATTTGGCTAATTCATCTACAGAGGTTAGAATGAACATCACAGATGTATCATTTTTTGATAAGTTATCAGATGCACCATCAGAAGATGCAACATGGGGATACCGAGTTTTCTGCCTCTTATTCAGCAATTTCCTACAATCACGTTTCACATGACCCACCTGATGACAATAGTAACACATAATCCCGCTTGAATCTTGTCTCTGAGTATAAGAGTTACCATCATAGGTGTTTAATCTTATTCCTCTACTACTCTTATACGGTAATTTGTTATGCTCAATCTCACTACTTTGACCACCAAGCGCATTATTGGACTGAAGTGGAGCAATTGATTGTGCCTTCTCTATTTGAAGTAACTTATTGAATGCTTCTTCCAAGGAAATCTCAGAACTACAAAGAATATCAGTTTTAGGGGTCTCAAATTTTGGCAGAAGCCCAGCCAAAATATTCATGACAGCTATGTTTTCTCGTTGAGCTTTTTGGATTTTCACATCTGTGCTAAATGGTGAAAAAAAATTAAGCTCTGCATAAGATTTTCTTAATTCCATATAGTATCTTGTAAGAGACTTTTCACCCATCTCTGCAAGAAAGAAAGCCTTGCAAATATCATACATCATCTTGAAATGTACTTCGCCTTCCTTGGAGTACACTGACCTCAAAAGTTCTACCAATTCTTTCACAAGTTCACAATGATTAACTAGACCAACTAATTCATTCTCAATAGAAATTCATTATCTACAATAATAGTCGAGCATCATCCCTTGACCAAGCTTGACTGGCCTCATCTTCAGGTGGATCATCAATCATATGATGGTCCATACCAATACTTCGTAGATAATCTCTATATATATATATATAGTCGTGTCCTTTTTCATTCACTATATATATGGATCCTATTGAAAGAGATGAATTTCATACAATAAAGGAAAATCAGTTGGGTCCCAAAACTCCTAAAATTCAGCTATACAATAACATACAAATTATAACGAGGCCAGACAAAACATAGGCCAAAACCAAGCAAACTAGCCACCTAATGATAAATACAAGGAGCTACAACTTCTTGTGATCAGACATAAAAAATGGCTCATTCACCAACATGCAAATAATTTTGTATTTTCGTTCTCTTTTTTTTTTTTTTTTGATAACGGAGAGTCAGAGCTTTGCTCCCCTATACCCAGGGGCACCCGCGCCCACCCCAAGGCTCAAACTCGGGAGACATCAAGGTTTTTTGGTATTAAGTTGACTAGAAGGTTCGAATCTTAAACCTCTAAGCCAGAAACCCCAAGCCATTGCCAATTGGGCTGCCCTATAGAGGCGGTATTTTCTTAATTATAGATCCACCTAAATAATTTCTAAGCCAGAAACCCCAAGCCATTGCCAATTGGGCTGCCCTATAGAGGCGGTATTTTCTTAATTATAGATCCACCTAAATAATTTGTATGCCGTCAAAAATATCCAAAGTATAACTAAGATCCATATTTACTCGATGGCCATTAGGTTCAGCTTTTAACAAGAAAGTTTCATGGACACTCCCATCCGGGAAAAATAAATTATATAGAAAGAATACATGTTAATAACCATAAAGGCACTTGGTGCAGTTTCCCCGAACTGTTTTCAATTCAAAACTAAAAAATGACAGTGGTTGCCTGGTATCAAACGTCCAACCAAAACTCATAAAATTGACCATTGTTCAACCATCTTATTCATTTTCAAATAATCAAAGACTAAAAGTTTAATGCTCCTCATGTCCATTACTATCAGATATATGGATACCATCTATTGGTTATATCTCTTGTTTTCAAAGATAAGAAATCTAATCCACATCATGACATATATACCACCTTAGATTTCCAGAAAATGAAGTAGCCAGTGCTTACTGGACCAAGGGAGGAAAATGAACAGTGGAAACATAAAACCATTATTTGAACAAACTATTATTAGACTAATACATACTTCCTACATATCTTAACAGATAGTGTCATAAAATTCGATAGAAACGCCGTTTAATAACAAATTAGATAACTAACAAGTCAACCAAATCTATTCACAGATGAAACTGAACAGAAAAAACAGAACGTAATGAAGAGAAATCAAGAGTACTCACATTTGCAAGAGACTCCAAAGAGTGCAGATAGTGTCTGTTATCCCTAACCCACTTCTTATAAGCTTCCATGAACTCAAAAAAATAATTCCCAAAACAGCACCAGCAACAAAAGAGAGAAGAAAAAAAACAATCGTCCAAGCACCCGGTGCAAACTAAAACCCTAGTGACGGAACAACGAAAAATTCCCTCATGGCCGAAAGTAAATCTTCAACAGAACTGTAAGGTCATTCAAAACGATGAATCTCTTTCGCGAACTTTTCAGGAAACTTCTAACGAAGAGCTTGCTGCTGACGATGGAGAAATTCCAGGGGAAGGACGGAGGAGACAACAAGCAACCGAATTGGGATTTTATAAAAATTAAAACTGTAAATTTCATCAGCCCCACCACCCAATTTACCGCTGCCAATCTGAAAAATCCTTCACATCTCTCTAGAAATTTGGTTACACATAGGAGATCGAGAGAGACACACATACGTCAATTGTCAATATCATTCTTTTTCTTTTTTCTTTTTTCTTTTTTTGGGAGTATTATGATTTATTTCAATATCTTTTTTTCTGAAGAAGATGATTTATGTCAATATCTGTATCGGTTTATCTATTATCTTTGAGGAAAAAAAATATCTTTATCTTAATTTTAACTTTTCTGGTGCAAATATCTATGCTTTTTTAGTTCCAAAATATACCTTATGGAGTGTAAATTTCCTTTTTTTTTCATTTCTTTTTAAATTATATACCTCCAATAATCCGAGTACTTATTATTATTTGAAAAGTCAATCATTCAATTTGCCACTAAGATAATTATTGAACTAAAAAATAACACAATAATATTAGCATCAAAGCATTTCTATTTCTTATTTTTTATTTTTTAATAAAATTTTATATAAAAATTACTTTTTAATTAAATATTCAATATCCTTTTAATATTTAGGACAAAATATACTTTTGGTCTAGATGTCTTATTTGATCTTTAAGTTTTAAAATGAACATTTTTAGTTCACGAAGTTTGAAAAGGTATTCTAAAGGGTCCCTCGATCCATTTGACCTGGGAAATTGACACGGAAAATAAGTTGTTAATTGTGCTCCAAAATATATTATTTTAATATATATATGTTTTGGTGATTGGAATTTTGAGGTGACGTTATTAATCTCTCTTCTCGCTAGTTATTGGTTGCACCTTCGTTTGCCAGTTACTGGTTGTGCCTCCCAGCTTCAGTAAAATACTTCCACATCAACTTTCTGGGACTATAGTGACCCAAATAGACACCCACGTCAAACTTCATATATTAAAAGTGTATTTTACCCTAATATTTATTATGCATTTTATTCTTTTACAACATAGTATCTAATGGTTTTTCAAGTTACTTAGTCATATACCACGAATCCACGAGTATGTGATTCCCTTTGCCACTCGACTCCTAGCTTAGAGAATAACAATCCTGAGTTCATCTCCAAGCAAGTGGCAAGTACTGCCTCTAGCACATATCATATAAAGTGAATAGTGAGTTTAGATGTCGAATTGGCTATTCAAGCTAAATAATTTATGATGTATTTGGGAGTGATACTAGAATTAGTGATTTTGAAAAAAGAGATTCAAGTAATATATCCAAAATCACATAAATACCTTAAAATCAATTAAAATGATTTTAAACTTACCTAAAATCAATTTTCTAATTTTCCAAACATGATCGATGAAAAGAGGAGTAATTTTTTACAATGACAAAAATACCAAAATCACCCCAAACACATCCTTGGTAGAACATAGTTGACTTTATGAGAAAATAGTATGTCAAAATCACTCCTAAACACATTCATGGTAGAGCATACCTCAACCCAATAGGTTGATTTTATGAGAAAAGAGTATCAGAATGACTTGATGAAATTTCATACATCAAAGTACATAATATGTTTAAAAAACGATAATTAGAATCAACAATAATGAAAAAATATATATATTCATATTTCAAGAAAAACAAAAAAACAAAAATCTTAGTTTTGGTGCTTTCAAAGTTTCTATCGATTAATAAAAATGAGAAACGAGAAGCAAAATTAGTTCTCAAACATTTATACTCTTAAAAACTAAAACAAGAAACCAGAAGATTATCAAACCGAGTTCAATAAGAAAATAAGAAAAATGAAATAATAAATGAACAACTATATTAATCAGAAAATTGATACAACAAAAATACTCAAATAGTAAGTTAAAGCTAATAGAAAATCTTAAGCAGCAGCATTTGTCCTCTCAAAAAAAAATATAAATAAAAAACAAAAGCAAAGAAAACAGGAACTTGGAAAAATGAAAGGCTGTTGCTCTTAAGCCTTTTGCTTCCCTTTTCTAATTCTGTCAAGATCAGCTTCAGCATCGTCCAACTGCTGCTTTAATGTTGATACCTTCCTCTCCAATTCTTCCACTGAATCTCTACTGGTTGAGGGTTGATATGGGGTACAAAAATTACCAGAAAAATCCTTCAGAGCTTCAACCCCAGTCACCTACAATCCATAACAAACTTTAGACATGAAATTGCAGGTAAAATTTTCTTTTTCCTGCTTTTGTTTTCAAAACAGTTTTTAATTACAGTGATTGTAAAACTCGGGAGTGAGATTGATACAACAGAAATATCGCGTAAAATTCCCACCTGTAGCCAGTAGATAAAGTACAATGACATGGTAGTTCGACTTGCCCATTTAACAAGCATCACCAAATGTTGAAAATATAGGTACTACGAATAAATAGGCACCAGTTGGTATTTATGCCTTCCTTCTCCTCTACCAAAACTTCAGTTTTTTCTTTTTCTTTTCTTAATAAATATTCGTGAGTGTTCAAGCCAACTCGACTAATCTCATAGGACAACTGTCTAACTCTACTACATTTGCAAGAAAACTTGTAAGATATTAAATCCTAAGAAGCCACTGTGGTTTAAACTTATTCCCTTTGAGCCCTTTACCTTTTTCATTGGCCTTTATTAACCACTAGGTCAATCCAAGGAACTTTCAGTGGTTCAACATTTTTTCATGGGGCTTTTAGGTCAATCCATGGAAACTTCAGTTATTGTGGACCGGAGAACAACTTCAAAAAAAATAGTTAAGCTATTTTTCAAGACCATTATTGAACAGCTCCTAGCGCCTTCTTCATTTAGAAATTAGAACTTAGAACCAAACGCGATGCGGTGATGCCAGACATGATAGACGATATTAACTTCTAATTTGCTCATATGGCAATGCCATACATGATAAACGATATTAATTGTTAAGTTTTAATTTGAGAACCATCGATCAAACATCACAATAGGAAATATGAACTACTTGCTTAAAGAAAACAGACTGAATCTCCACATATTAAGACAAATACCTACAGAAAAAAAGTACAACTTAAATCGTACCTCTTGAGGCAGCAATGGCAACTTGGTGATGTGGAAGTCGTCGTACAACATGTAAAATTGGTCGAGGTATTTCTGTTGCATCCTCATTCTTGCTTTCAGTAACTTGGATTCGACATCTAAAATGGCAGCACAATACGGTTAAGTAACAGGGAAGTACCAAATTACTCTAGAACATAAATATATATCGATTAGGATAACTGTCGAACCTTCGTCGTCATAAATTACTTGGTTAATGATAATATTGTGAGTATCAATCTCAAACTTGGTGAGTTCTTGAACTAGTCTCTCCGTTTCGTAAAGAGAGAGAAACTCAGGAATGCAGACACAAACGAATGTAGTCAAGTCCTGCAAACAGAGATATGTCAGTACACCTCATAGATTATCCAATGTCAGATGAAATCATTGCTATTGTTTAAAATTTTAAAAAAGACACAAAAAACACATAGTTAGATACTAAGAAACTTAAGAAGTTCAATTTGAAAGAGTTTACCAGAAATCAAGGATAACTTTTGGCACCGAGGTAAAGAGGAAATTCTACAGGTAAATAAAATTTTGGTCGTGACTAAACTTTCAAAAGTTTGATTTTAATCCTTAAATTTTTACCTATTTTACCTATTTTCCATTATGATCCTTTTAAATTTTATAAAACCTCAATTTTGATCCTCTAACTTTCATCCAATTCCATGGGGAGTCTCTATCATTTACATGTCACATCACAATATTCACTAAAAAATTTGAGAAATAAAATTGAAACTTTAAGAATCCGTAACGATCTCGTTTCTTGTTTTCAATTCTATTAAAAAACCTAAGCATTTCACATCTATCCATATTCCTTTCTCATTTTCTAGAAACATTCTCACAATTGTATAGAAATTTTGGAAACAACAAAACTAAGGGGTCGTCGAGTAACGTTCCTGTTGGTTGTTTCTGTTTCTTCATTTTTAATAAATAAAAATGAATTGCATCGACCCAACATCCATAAATTCAAGTATGATAAAACAATGTTTCTATTTGTGTTTTAAAATAAATTAGAAATGGAACAAGAAAGAAGAAATTTGTTTTGGTTGTTTCCAAAATAAAGGAGAAAAAAAAACATAATTAATTGCAAAATGCTTATATTTCTGAAGAAAATTTGAAACGTGAAACAAGAAACGAGAACGTTACCAAACGGGCCCTAAGTTTCTTGTTATTTCCAATTTGTTCCGTTCCAACATAAATAAAAATCTTGTTTTATCATTATTGAATTCATGAATGTTCGAGACATGCAATTCTATAATTCTATTTTTCTTTATTAAAAATAAGGAAATAGAAACAGAAAATGGGAACGGTACCTTATGGGCCCCTAAAAAGTAAATAAATAAAATAAAAAGTTGATAAAAATTCAATGACGAAAATGGAACTTTCAAAACATAGGTAAGCAAAATGAAAACCACATTTAGACCAAAATATGTGGAACCCTTCTTCCAAAATCCATGAAATTTTAATTATATACTAAAGAACCATCGATATATACTGTGATGTAGAGATGGGTGGTTGGTTTTATACCCTTGCGACAACCAAGGCAGTAAAAAATAAGAGTGGTTTTTTCCTTTAATTTTTTCAATTATTAGGAAACATATATTTCATGGATAGGATGAAATCTTACAAAAGGGGGGAGTCCTATACAAGATACCACATCAAATAGTTCAAAAAAGAGCTCTCCAATTGAACTTTAAATCATTGATACTATAGTTTGTGTAACGGGATAACATTTTCACCAAAAAAAAAGCCAACATTAGAATAGAATCTATCTATCAAAAGATGTGGATGAGTTGTTAAATTAATAGGAACGGTTGTTTCATTCTTTCATTCTCTCATTCTTATAAGAATAGTTCCAAATCCATTCAGCCGGTCTAAGTTGTGATCTTGCTGCTGTTTTTTGGAGATTCATTCTAACGGAGTTCGACACCCCGAGAGTCCCCTCAAAATAGTATTGGCAGGTCATCCATTCACGAAGAAAAGAAGCTCCTTCGGAAGAATTTTATTCTTTCCTTTGGGTCACAACAAAATCTTCATAGACAAGGTATGTAGTTTTGATCGATTTATGATGCTACAGTATTATTGGTCATTTCTTGGTGTAAATGCTCTCATATGTTTCATCACTATAGTTTTTCCTCTCTATTATCCAATTGAAGAAGTTTTTTGTAACTCCTTTGGATGAGATTTTTCCCCTTTTGTAATTTCATATCATCAATGAAATTGTTTCTAATCTTTTTTTTTTTTTGTCCGTGAGTCTCTGGACCAGCTTGCGCGACAACTAATCTCACGGGATAACCGCCCGACTCCACTATATTTGGTTGCCAAGCAAACTCGTAAGATATTAAATCCTAGGTAGGTGGTCACTGGGTTTCTACTCAACAACAACAAAAAATAATAATAAGAAGAAATAATAAAAATATCCAATCCTTTTTAAGGGATGATGATTCCATCTAGCAACTACATGTATATCAATGTTTTATCTTCACAAGTCATGCATAGGATTTTGTAAAACATTAAAAATCATTACCAATATCTATTATCTTTTCCCAATGTGTTTTCCATCACCTCAAACCTACTCTACAATAGTTTTTTAGAACATTTTTGGAAAATTGAGGAGAGATTATGAAGTGTGTTTGCATGTTTCTATTTGGGCTTCTAATACGAGTTTTGTCACTTTCCTATAGTACTTGATCTTGGTTAGACATGTGCTACGAGGCAATAATACAGAAAAGGGCAGGAACAATTAAGAGAAAGAAAAAGGTATGAGATGGGTGCCCTTACAGGATCTTTGAATTGCCTATTAACTTGTTCAATCACATCTCTCATGCCTTCCAGTCTTCCCAGAATTGCATCCTCACCAAACTCATCATCGACACCAAACATCCGGGACACCTGTTGCAGAAAGTTTCAGAGAGCTAATTACCATGTATATTGTACCAAGACGTACATGATTCCAGAAGCCTAAAGATGCCAAGAAAAAAGAATTTCTCAGTGTTTTTTAAGGAAGTTACCAGTCTAAATATAAACAAAAATAGAAATGTTAACAAGAAAACTGAAATTGCACATGGTTGAATAAGTTGAAGAATGAAACTCATACAGCACAATCTAAACTTATTCTGAAGTTATGAGAAATCAAACGCTAGTCTCAAACGATGCACAATAGTAGCATCATTGTTATCAAATTAGAAATGGTACCTGATTCAGTAAGCCTCCAAATCTACTTTTCAAAGACATTATCTTAGCAAGACCCTTCTCCAAGGTTGATGGAAATTGCAACAGCCGAAGCGTGTGGCCAGTTGGAGCAGTGTCAAATACTATAACAGAATAATCCATTGTTTGTACTAATCTGGAGACAAACAATTCATTTAATGTAGCCATGTTAATAAATATAAATGTTTTTTTCCCTGGAGTGGATATCGATTGGATGGCATGACATTGTAATACTTGGTTAAATCGTTAAAAAATTCTAACATAAACATACATATAAAGAGCCCCCAGTGCCACCCAACCCTCCAGAAATGTTATCTTCCCCTGGAAGTCTAATGCATGGTGATTGATGACTAAGGACTAATTTTGACAATTCCCAAGTCCTAACAGAGTGGTAATTATCAAAACAGAGAGCAACATAACTTAAATCATGAATAGTAATCAAACTAGTAGTCCTGGAACTATAATTTAAACTTCATTTGGAAATCGTACATTATATGTCAAGATTATACTGGTCAGAAAATAAGTATAGCCAGCAATCACTATGCAGTACCAATCGAAAGAACTATCCTCACTAGAAAACTTGATAAAAAGTCAGATAATGGAGATTGATGCCTTTGAAAGATCAAGAAAGATGTTTCTTACTTCAGCATCTCTGCAAAGCTCATCGCCTCATCAATTCCAGGAATGGCATTAGCTAGCTCGGAAAACAAACCATCCATCCCCTCAGGGCCGACTTCTTCATTTTCCACAGTCGGATCCACCTCCTACAAACCAACATTGCCCACATTTTGAAGCGCATGAACTTATCAACAATAATCCAGATACAATTTCAAGTTTGCCCGCCCCCCAAATTCTCCAGAAACCCCGTGTAAGAACTCAATATCAAATCAAATTCGTTACAACATAAAGATTCAAACCAAACTAACATGAAAACCACATGCGTGAGAGACCGGAATACATCACGCAACACGCTTCAGAATTGAGAATTAAAATAAGGGGAAAAAAAAGAACGCACCATCGCATAGAGATTGGAGAAGCCATTGACCAAGGTGGGCGCCTTGGTGAATCTCTGCTGAAATGCATCGCTGAGATTGTGAGCCGGGTCGGTGGAGATAATCAAAACAGAGGATCTGACCTGGGAAAGAAGAATCGAGAGGATGGAGCTGCAGGTGGTCTTGCCGACACCGCCTTTACCTCCAACAAAAACCCATTTAAGAGTCTCTTGATCCAGTAGATTCTGAACCGTACCTTCAGGTAATTCTTCTGCCATTTTTGCTGCTTCTCCCAAATTATCTCTCTTCTCTCTCTCTAGAAGAGAGACTGTAGTGGGCTTTGGATATAATCACGAATTGGGGAATTGGAAGCGGAGGAATCTACTGGGTGATCTTCTAGGTTTATCAAGAATTGAATTTTTACACAAAACGGAGAAGTTCGGATTCGGACTCGGGAAGAAGAAGGCGATTATCTATCTGCAGTTTATCAAAAAAAAAAAAAAAAAAAATTGCTTTTAACTTCTCCTTTTGTTATAGAGTGCAAATCCTAAATAAAAGCCGAGTATATTGAAAAATAGAAAATAAAAAATAGATTTTGTCTCACAACATATATATTGTATATCTTAGTTATAAATTTGGGTTTATGTTTATATAGTTCTTATATTATAAATTTTTGAGAAATTGTATCGAGTATCTAAACTTTTATATATATTTACAAATATATCACTGTATTTTGTAAATATGACAAAATATTTGAATTTTTATTATTACAGTTTTACTTATGATATATGATATACACTCGATGTATATATGATATACGTCCGATTAATGTATATCTGATATACGTCCGATCTACATCTGATATACATATGATCTATCACTGATATACATCAGATGTACGTATTATACGTACATCTGATGTACCTCTAATTTGTGATATACTAAATATATTTGTAATGATATACCAATGTATATCCTATCTTATATATATCTGATGTATTTATGATGTACATTTGATGTACATCTGATGTATATCGGTGTCATACTAAATATATTTGTAATATTAATAATATATTAGAGATGCATAGTATGTCGTTGATATACATCAAATGTAAATCACAGATGCATCAATGTTAGATATTAGTAGATATCAACGGATATCGTGATTATATCAATGATAAATTAGAAACATATTAAGTATATATCATAGATGCATCAAAGTTATATTAGTGGTAAATCATATAATCATATGAGAAGTTATATTAATAGATATCATACTTATATAAGTGGTAACTTAAAGACATATCAAGTATACATCACAGATATATAAGTGTTATATCAGCATGGTAAATCGATGATAAATTATATAATCATATAAGAACTTATATCAGTAGAAATCATAGTTATATCATACGTATATCAGTGGTAAACCATATTAGAAGTTATATTGGTAGATATCAAAAATATATCAAAAGTAAATCAATTGTATATTAGTATTATATCAGTGGTATATCAAAGACATATCAATAATATATTGAACATATGTTAGTGGTAAATTAATAAATCGTAAATAATATAATCATATAAAAAGTTATATCAGTAGATATCATAGTTATATCAATAATATATCAATTGTATATCAATAATAAATCATATGTATATAAAGTGTGTGGGTGTATATATATATATATATTGTGCTATATCAATGGTATATCAATGCTACAAGGATAAATTTGACATTTTATGATTGGACCTCCGTTTTTTTTTTTTGTTATATTTGCAAATCTAAAATGTATTTAATCTACATTTTTTAGAGAAAAAAAATACTTGAATTTCAAAAATAACATAAAATACTCCTCCCTCTAAATTTTCCAAACAAAAAGATTATACGTTAGAAATGTATAATGTAAAATTTTTCTCCCCCATCAGAAATTTTTGCTTCACCACTAAATATCACTTTAGGTAGAAGAAGCAAGTTTTCAGATATTTAGAAAACGTTTTATTATGTCCATACATCTTATTTCTAGTCAATAGGATGATAACGTTTTTGTTTATTATTTCTTATTGTCTGTTTATCGTTTTTCATTTCTTCCTATAAAGAAATACAAAGAAAAACATAACATTGATAATAGTTTCTGTTATTTTTAAAAAGAAACAGAAACATGTTTAAAAGTCGTTTCTTATTTTTCGTTATTACAATCTTAATTTTTTTTAAAAAGTAACAAATTTATATAAAAAAATTATTTTTTTAAAATTAAATATTCAAAATGTGTTATATTTTATTTATTTATGCGTAATTTTAAAATGTTTCTTTAAAATGAGAAATGAAAAACATAAACATTTACCCGGCGCTTATGTTTCTCGAAATTAAAAATGACAAACAAAAAAAAAACTAAAATATTACCAATCAGGGCTGTTTGTTTCGTGGAAATCCAAGATTTCCATGAGACGAACATTTGGATTTTCATGTTTGTTTTGTAGTAATGTAAGATATCCAAGAATCTCGAGATGCCTGGGTATCATAGAAATGCTCATACGAGAGGCATCTTACGAGTTTTGGATGCCCTTTTGAAACACGAGTTTCTAAGATTCCCGTGTTGAGGCATCTACTTTTACATTTTTGTCCTCCATTTTTTTCTCCATAATCAATTTTTTTAAATTTTTCCTAAAAAATTTCTTTATTTTTATTTTTAAATTTATAATTAAAATAAATTATTATACTCATTGTTTAATAAATAACTTTATCCTATTAAGTATATTTGTACATTAGATTTACATGTAAAATAAACTACCATTAAATTATATAATATATCAATTTATTTTTAATATTGGGAAGGAATTACATTATTAATAATATTTATAATCATAAATATATAATTGTAAAGCAACATTTTTTTCCCGCCAATATACCCGTGATATTTTTCCTTTTTTAAAAGATATAATATGATGATATGATAAATAAATTTTACCCAAGATAACATAAATTATATAATTGTATTTTTGGAAAACTATTAAAGTTGAAAATAAAACTTATATTAAATTAATAATGAATTAATTTGTTCTACAAAATAGCATATAAAAAATAAAAATTTTAAATTAATTCGTATAAAACTATTATATTGGATGAATTTATAAATTATATAAATATTTAAGAGGGCATTTTTGGAACATTCTATAAATTTAACACATTTCTAAGAATAAATCAGCCAAATATTCCCGAATATCTTTAAAAATATTCCTAAGAAATAAACGTAGTCATCTTAGACATCTAATATCCTAGACATATGAAATTTAAGGTATCTCTAGATGTCAGTCATCTACATTTCCGAAAAACAAATGACACCTTGATATTATAGATATAGATAATTAGATCGTCGGTTAAGATACATGTCTCTGACCAAAAGGTTATGAGTTCGAATCTTACCTCCACAAGTTGTACTAAAAAAAATAGATCGTCGTTCTTCGTATCATTCAAATTTAATTTTATCTAAAGCTTGATCTTTACTAAAATGAGTGAATTCTAATAGATTTTTTAGTATAACAAATATGAGATAGAGATTTAAACCTTCAGACTTTAACATCAAATGAACGGGAAGAATTAATAGACATCTAATTATTGAGTTATGACTTTAACATCAAATTATTTTTTTCTTTTTAGTACAATGTAATTACAATAATATGAAAAAGCCAAGGTGGGTTTAACACAACGATAAAGAATATCAGCTTGATCGAAAGGTTATGAATTTGGATAGCTACGTGTATTAATAAAAACAATAATATGGAAACAGAATTGATACCGACAAATATATTCAAATCAATCGAATCAGTTTCACCTGTTTCTTCCAGAAAGGGAAACAAGAAAAGGAAAAGAAAAGAAAACGGCTTGCATAATCATAAATCATTTTTTTTTTCTTCCTGTATGATCAGACTCTAAAATTCTGATGAACAGAGAGAACAAGGCGGTGAAAGAGATTGATAAAATTGGGGCATGAAAGACAACGCCGCAGCATCTTGTTAATGGAAGCTATTCGATTATTTCGCCCTCTCGATCACTCAATTTCACATATAATTCAAATGGAATCTCTCTCCACAACGAATGATATCATGATCAAGCACGAAGAAGGTTCCGCGTCATATCAATCCGTAAGTTGAAATCTCTGCTCAGTTTCTATGAATTTTCTTAGTTATTTGACGTAGCTCAAAACTTAGAACCTCAAATTTTCAATTGTGTCGATGGCGTATTTGCTGAATTTGACGGCGACTTCTCAGACACGGTTCTTTAATCTTGAGTTTCACGTTTTGCATCTCAATCCGTCTCCTTCACTCGTTGACATTCCCTCGTCCACATTAACGTAACAGTTTGAAGCCGACTTATCTAGCTTTACATTATTCCTTGTATCAGGATGAGGATATGCGCAGTCTGTGCGTGACGCATCCAGATTATGATGCGAGATAGGTTTTGCGGGGGTTTTATCACATCATCAATGGCTTCAACGCAATTAACTGCCAGAAATGTATGTTGTTCACTGACTTCGAAGATTAATTTTGAGAAATATATTAAATGATAAAATATACGGTGGGTTCGAAATTTAGGTTTCGGTGTTGATAATTTAGCTTTAAATTGAATTTCTGGGATGTTATTTACTCCCGATTTCATATTGTTAATTGAGTGTCTCATGAACCAATGAGCTAATGTCAGTCTCATATTTGAGTAGGGTTGAGAATGATTAAATAATTAGATTTTCCTTCTGTGTTTGAGAATATATTAAATGATTAAATTTTGCCTTGGCTTAATTTGTAAGCTTTTAGGTGTGACGATGGTTTGATAATGATAGACCAGAATGATTAATTATTAGAATTTGCTTTTCAGGTCACACTCTATAATTTGGACATTTTGTTACTGAAAAAAACTATTCTATTCTTACAGCCGGTCTCTCTCTGTAGTTGATGGTTGCAAAATTGAAAGTCCATCCTTTACGTAGAGATACTTAATATACCTTATTTAAAAAAAAAAAAATATATATATATATATATATATATATATGTATGTATGTATGTTACCCTTACATAGGATATATGTCGGAGATTTGTTCAAATGCTAAGTGTAAAAATTTAGTCCAATGAGAGAAAGATTGGAAGTTAATGTTATTTATTACTTGACTAATGGTTACTTTGAGCCGAGTGGCATTTATGAATGCCATATTTTAAATGATCACAAGAATATTCTCAACTTGGAATGTTCATGCATTTAAGATCATGTAGAACAAAGATGAAGATGCATTAATATCTAAGATTCCATAGGTGAAATCAAGAGGGCATGAGAGGTGGGTGTAGGGGTTAGTTGAAATGCTGGCCTTATCCTCAATTCATGACAAGAAAAGGTTGCAGCAGAATCTTAATGAGGAAGAATCAATGGAAATGGTGACCCTTGCTTTTAATATACCAGTGAGCATCATGCATTTTATCTTTCATATTTTACTCGAAATGAGCATCATGCATTTTATCTTTCATATTTTACTCGAAATAAACATTCTTAATGTCTATAAAGTTAGTTTGATAGGGATATGTAAGAATCTGTCCGAGTTTCTTCATTTTAGTTTTTGTTTTCACATTTTCCTTTCCCTCCTGGAAGGGGCGGAGATTGTTGATGTCCTACTAAGTTGTTCTGATCCATATGTTTAATTGGGACCAATGAATACAAAGGTGGAAATGAATAGGATGAACTCTAATCAATCTCCACATAAGCTGCAGACTTATATTTCACTGYCTTATGCAAGTTGCTGCCATGTCCAATACGAATTAATGCACCTCCTCWATGATTTCTTATTTTCCTACTTCTTTCGAGTATGACGAATCAGGGTTGACATTGTTTTTAAATTAGGATGACAAAACTCTCTTATTTCAAAGGCTCGAGACCTTCTCGATCTATGATGATTGTATAAAATTTTTATTTGATACTTTCACGCACCTTATAATAAATGGAGTTATATTTCCATGCCTTATGCTCAAGATTTCATTACTGCTAGYTATGATATTATTGATATTCTTAATGGCTGATGCTATCACCCCGATTGGCCAAATAAAAGTGCTTTCTGGTAATATTTTTTGTGTGATGGATCTTATTCCAACCATAATATGGTTTTACATAGATTGAAGGACGTGTCTTTAGATTTACCATTACCATTCCACSTTAAGTGATGCCATATGCAACTTTGTTGTGAAAAGGAGGGTCACTATCAAGCAAATCATCGGTAAGGGCTGTTTTCATTATCCAAACAACTATCTGAAGGAACTTGCACTTTTCTATCCATTTACTTGTGTCTTCCAAATTGTTTTGATTAAACAATTCAATCCACCACCCCTTCACCAGCCTTTATAAATACATTCATTTATGCAAAGTCACCATATCCAAGCTTAAGCAAACGTACAAGCTTACCTTGTTCTTTCAGCTTCTTGTTTTCCGATCCTCTAAAAGCCTTTGGCGTTTTCCCCCTCCATCTTTTGTTAGTATAACTATAGCCATTTCATTTATCTTTGAATATTTGGTTATAAAATCTTTTGGAAGGTAGAAGAGTGATTGAATTTAATGGATACATTGAGAAACTTGGCATCACAGAAAGCAGTAGTGATTTTTTCCAAGAGCTCATGCTACATATGTCATAGCGTCCAGACACTTTTTTATGAGCTTGGTGYGAGCCCTGCWATTCATGAGCTTGACCATGAAGCAAATGGGCGAGAAATTGATTGGGCTCTTAGAGGTCTAGGGTGCAACCCTTCTGTTCCAGCTGTGTTCATAGGAGGAAAGTTTATAGGTACATCAAAAGATGTTATTTCTCTCCATGTTAATGGGGACCTGAAACAAATGTTGATAGATGCGAAGGCCATCTGGTTGTAATGCTACAAAAAGCAAAACCTGATGGCTCTTTCTTTGTTTCTTTTTGTTTTTTTTCCGCTTTTACTATGTTGAAAAGGCTCGTACAAAATGTTGTAAGAAGACTCTAATAGTTATGGAGTTTACTTACTGAACTGTATAATATGAAGCCATGCTTACCTGAGACATCTAAATGCTAGGATAAGTTTTCCTAGAATTCAGTATTGCTTCCAGTTTTGTGCATTACGAAGAAAATAGAAATAACAATTAGACATTAGAACCTACCACACTGTCTGATATGTAAGATTTGCTTTTATCTACCGAAGTAGAATAAATTATTTATTAGTTTTGTCCTAAAAAGTGAGTAATAAGATATGACATCATCACATGAGAGGTTTCTGTGTATAAAACTGGTAGTTTTTGGTTTCAAGTCTACCATTGATTTAAAATATGAAGGTGCATCAACGAGGAATTATGCACTTTAAATGAAAATCTCTTTTTGCAAATTGAATTTTCTTCTGTTTGGAGCTATCATGGGCAATAATATGTACTTGTTGATTGTTGTGCATTTCATGATCTTCATACTGCTGCCAGACTGAAGCTGCTTGTGCACATCATTGTTTAATTATTAGGCAAGGCCTTTTGATAAAGACATGCACATATGTAATCACCAGGTGAAAAGCGAATGTGCCATGGAATTGCATTTTTAGAGCTATCTCGTGGCAGTTAGGGAAAGAAAGAAACGACGGAGGTTTTCAAGATTCTTTGTCTACGGAAGATTTTTTGTGGAACAATGTACAACACATCTTTTTGGTGGTGTTTGAACTATAAGATATATATATATATATATTTTTTTTTAAATTATAATCTCTTCATGATTTTGTATGTTTGGAAGGCTTTGCTTTAGTTCCTTTTTGGGGTTACCTCCACCTCGGCTCTTAGGCTGTTTGTTGTCCTGTTTTTGGAATGCATTTGTTATAAATTTCATATAAAAAAAATAGATCTTATGTCTATGAAATACATGCCCGAATTGTTTCTGGATTTCCAAATTGAGCATCAGAGCCCTTATCCTCTAGTTTTGAGCATTAATTTTGCTGGTTAAACTATTTCTGGGATTAATTTGATCAATCAACTTGTAACATTTCAGATCTAGTTAGTTAGATCCTTCACTAGTGCAGGGACAACTAGGTGAAACTATAACTTTTATGCTTGCCATGAACTTTTTCGTACATTTTGAGTCAAGACCAACTCTGGAGATGCAAATTCAATAACTGAATTGGATTATGCTTTATTTTATATACATACATCCCTTAGCATATAGGTTAAGTGGCGAGCATGTGAGCTTAATCTAAAGTATAAACAGTGTGTGTATTGCATCAAAGAACAGGATATACTCTGTTGTGTTAACAGTCATCATGGGCTTAGTTATATCCTAGAAATTACGGTGACAAGGTCTTTTATGAAGCTAACATTTTGAAGAGGGGGACTCTGTCAATTGAATAAAGGGGGAAAGTTTAACCTTATTCAATTTTGTATATCTGTGTGCTCACCAGGCTGTGGAACATCACTCTGTTAGATTAATGAAGCTAAGCAAGCTCCACATACAAGGAATCATACAAGTTGGTGGACAGAATACAAAGAATTGCAGCCACTGAAGTCTTTCTGGGTAAGGATTCAAAGATGGCGATTGCAAGAATCTGGTATATATTGACTGTCATTACAGAATTTTTTGCTTTTGTTTTATTGTCTCTTAATAGTTATATTCTCATTTCCACAAACTCTGCAAAGTAGAAGACACGGTTATTGTTTTTACACGTCAGAAAAAGATTRATAGGATCAATATCACCACTTGATTGTGTTACTAATACAAGTATGATTAACTCATAATCTACAAATCAAATGGTTAATGATTCATATAGCAGCATAATATAATAGTCGTATCCTCTAAATTAGAAGACCTGTCAACTTGTCCAGCCTGTTGGAAACAGTAGTCCTCATTTTAAAAAGTTAAACTTTTATTAATTTGAGCATCTAACTAAAGCACAAGCTCTTTTGAACGTTCTTTTTTTTTTATAAAGAAGGCAATCTTCCTTATGTTGTCTCTATAAATAGTCTTGCATGAGAGCTCAAACTCATATAACAACAAGCTTCGATATTTGTTTTCTCTTGCACACTTTTCCTTCTTAATATTTAAAGCCTATATAACCGTTTGGACCAAATTTGAATAAATTTGGTCCAAAAAGGTTATAAGGTTTTAAACAAACTTGAAAAAAAACCTTATATATATCAAGTGTACTTTTGTTTCTTTGCTTCATATCATCTGCAAGGAAAACTCTATCATATTAAGAAGGTATGGATAAGGTTAAAGGGTTGGCTGCAGAGAGGAGTGTGGTCATACTCAGCAAAAGCTCGTGCTGCCTATCATATGCAGTTAACATTCTATTTGGGGAACTTGGAGTCAATCCTTTTGTTTATGAGATTGACCAAGACCCTGACTGCAGGGAAATAGAGAAAGCGCTCGTAAAGTTGGGATGCAATGCACCAGTACCAGCYGTCTTCATCGGTGGAAAGCTGGTCGGATCCACGAATGAGATCATGTCGCACCACCTTAGTGGTGATCTGACCAAAATGCTGGTGCAAAGTCATGCCTTGATTAAATACTAAATCCATTCACTATTCTGTTGGAGAAGAAAAAAACAATAATAAGTTGGCCGAAGCTTATTAATGCAATAATTTATGTCATGTCGTATGTGTCGAGAATTATGTAGCAATTGTTTAGCTGTGTAGTATTTGTAATGCGTTTTTCATTGTTAATAAAGTTGGCTCCTATTTTATTGTGTTTATATTTTGCCAGTTGGTGCCTAGGACTCTGAACATGCTACGAAGTTGCATTTAATCTCTCCCCTTCCCCACCATTCTTAAATCTTAAGACTGAAACCGAAACCGGAGTAGCAGCCTTGATTTTCTGACTAATCCTTCCTTATCAGACTCTTTGAGAACTAAAGTAGCTGGAAATTCTGTCTGCAAGTATTGAAGCATAGTCGACCCCAGGTACAACAGACTCGTGATTATACTTTCAATACTTTAGAGATTTTGACTTGGTATGAGTATCCGAGTGCCCGAAAATTCTAATTATGATCGTATTCATAAAAATTAGAACGCTCCATTAATCAGATACTATATTCTCTGGTCAAAGAATCAGTTGGACTACTTGCTGAGACTTGGTATTTTTCAAGAATATTGATTAGGAGCAAATGCAAATTAATGTTAAATATAATTTCACATAAAAGAAATGTTATTCTGAAATCATCTGCTTTTGAATTTTCCATAGCAGTCCTCCACATTCTATTGGAAAAGTTGAAGAGAGAAGAATGCTCAACTTTTCCTGCATGTGGGGCTGGGATTCTTCAAACTTTTTCTCATATGAAGATAGGCATCACATTCCATTCCTTTTCATATTTATTCCCTTTTGATTTCCCTTCTGCTTATGTCTGTGATAATCCTCCCTTCAGCGGTCGGTATCATTAGTATAGATTTTATGCAGGCTCAGCTAAATCCAAGCTTCATACTTTTGATGCTAATGCCATATATAGTTCGTGATGATCGATCGAGCATCTCTGCGATACCCGTATACAAGTACTTTACTTCTCCGTATACAGGTACTTTACTTTTTTGAAAGAATATTGCTCAACTCGGTTCTTGGAAGTTTTTTCTTGCAGTAAATCATAAGTTTATTGAAAAACTTTTTGATGTTTTGCATAAGCTTTTCTGAGAATAGAAGTGGATGGTAGAAATCAATTTTTCTAGTTGATATAGTAAAAATTTGGCTGATTTTGTAGATAGAAAGAAACCAAAAATATTTGATAGCATGAAAAGCATTTTGGACAAAATCCTAACAGAGAACATGCATTTTGTTTTTTTGGTTCAATAGGGTATGAGTAGATTCGGACCTTCAACCCATAGGGAAGAAAATATAGTCTTGACCAATTGAGTTATACTTGTACCAGCATACAAGTAGTGGAGTTTAAGACAATCAAGTAAGAATGAAATTTATAACTACGGGAAAAAACCTGTCATCTCAGTTATAGTTTGAACTTTCGAATTTATAGAGTAAGCTGTTGTTTGAAGATTAAAATAAATCGAAAGGAAATAGGAAATACATGACATGTTTGGAATTTATTTTTAAATTTAGTAAAAACATATTTGGATTATTATGTTTAGGAGTTATTCTTGTTTTGGTATGTTTTATGGATGATATGTTTCTTCTATTCTTCTTTTTGATATTCAAAATAATGGAACCTCCACTTCTTGCATTGGATTATGCCTATGGTTGGTTTCTTTTAGCAAAAAAAGTTATTCTTTCTTTCATGTTTGTGAATATGAATAGATTTTTCCTTGTGCATAAGAAATAAAGTGCTTAGGGAATAATTGGCTTGAGATCAAATTGTGGGGTAGGTAAGGAATAAAAAGTTTTTTTTAGTAGGGGTTCAAATGCATGACTTTTTAGTCAAATATATATATCTTAATCAAAATATATATATCTTAATCAATTGAGCTAAATTCAGATTGACTAATAAAATGTGTTTTTGAGATATCAAGCCAAAAATGTAATGTCCCCATTTTTAACTGATTACCCTTTTGGTTTTGTTTTGTTTCTTTAATGCTCTTCCTCGTTTTTGTTTAAGAAGGAAAAGGGAAGAAGGTATGTTTGACCTTTGTTAAATTTTGTGAGACTTCTTAAAAATGAAAAGCAGGAAATGGAGGATAGTTCCCAAATCTACCTGTTAAAAAAAAAACATTTAATTTCTTAAAAATGAGAAATGAAAAGATTTTTTTTTAACCATTTAAGTTTCTTCAAGGTGCTGTTTGTTTTTCGGGAATGTAGATGGCCGACATCTAGAGATGCCTAAAATTTCAGATGTCCGGAATATTAGATGTCTGTCATCTCCAGATAACCACGTTTGTTTCGTAGGAATATTTTTAAAGATATTCAGAAATATTTGGCTGATTTATTTCTAAACATACCCTCATAAATATTTATATAAAAAATTCATCTAATATAATAGATTTATTCGAATTAATTTAATATATTTTTATTTTTTATATGTTATTTTGTAGAACAAATTAATTCATTATTAATTTAATATAAGTTTCATTTTCAATTTTAATAGTCTTTCGAAAGGACAATTATATAATTTTTGTTATCTTGGATAAAATTTATTTATCATATCATCACATTATATTTTTTCTAAAAGGAAAAATATCACGGTTCTGTTGGCGGGAAAAAATGTTGCTTCACAATTATATATTTATGATTATAAATATTATTAATAATATAATTCCTTCACAATATTAAAAATAAATGGATATATTATATAATTTAATGGTAGTTTATTTTACATGTAAATAAATATACTTAATAGCATAAAGTTATTTATTAAACGATTAGTATATTAATTTATTTTAATTATAAATTTAAAAATAAAAATAAAGAAATTTTTTAGGAAAAATTTAAAAAATTGATGAAAGAAAAAAAAATGGAGAAAAAAATGAAGGACAAAAATGTAAGAAGTAGATGAAAACTCGTAAGATGCCTTAGTATGGGCATTCTAGGATATCCGGGCATCTCGAGATATCCGGATATCTTACATTGTCCGTCTCATGGGAATCTTGGATTCCCACGAAACGAACGACCGGATGTAGTAGAAACATTTATTGGACGATTTTAACCTGGATTATTTATATAATACCCGATTTATCTTTAGTTTCATTTATGTTCTCAGTTTCAAGTTTTCTCTCTCCCTTCTATCCTCATCTCAGGAAAATTTGATCTCTCCTCATTAATATTATTTTTCATTAACTCTATCTCTCACCTCTCTCTACCCGTCTAAATTCTTCCTTCCTTTTTCAGTCTCTCCCAATGTTGTCTCTTGAAGGCTAACCTTTCGATATTCCATTTTGGTTCAAACTTTTCCAAATATCTCTCTTATTTATTGTTACGTTGTTCTCTTAATTAATTATTTTATTAATATTAACACTAGAAATTCCTAATGTTATAAAGTCCTTCAAATTACTAAAAACTCTCCTAATTATCTCTTTCGATTAATTGGATTAATAAAAAGCTAGGCTTTAAAAATTCTTATTCTTAACCTCCATGTGACAAATAGTTAATAATATAATAAAATAAAAAAATTACTCCATACATTAATATTAAAAATATTAATGCTACAAAACTACTTCCAACTATCTCTCTTAATTAATTTGGTCATAAATATAATTGATTTTAAAAATTCTCACACCCTTCTAAGGTAAGAATAATGGTAATACATATTCTAACCATTTAAATAGGGGTAAAAAGAAAATTAACTTATCCTATTTTAAAATTAAGTATAAAACTATCTTATCCTATTTTTCAATTTATTATATATTTATTAAAAATATAATTTAATTGAGTAACTGATTCAGACATATCACATAAAAGAAATATAAATAAGAGAGATAATTGGAAGGGTTTGAACCTAATTAAGGAGAATATGGTAGGTGGTCTGAGGGGAGAGACTTGGAGGAATTTATATGGTAGAGAGGGAAGAGAGGTGGAGACAATGAGAAAAAAATTAATGAGAGATAAAATTTTGACGAGGTGGGGAAGAGAGTTTTGAGGGAGACAGAAAGTTCATGTGAGAAAGAAAAAAATAGAATTTGGAGGGGTAGGAGAATATAAATGAAACTCAGATAAATACATGACTTTTTCATTTTCTCATTTTCAACTATAATTATTACTATAGACATAGTTCTAAAGTAATGCTTTAGAGCCAAATAACATTCTTCATTTTTTCATTCTTCATTTTTTTTCTATTCTGTATATTGAACTTCTTCTACGTTGTCAATTGTTATATCCTTATATGTTTTGAATATTACATGAAGTAAATGTACAGAGTTCATCTTTAAGTATCTTTATTTAGTAAGAAATTGGTTTATGACCAAGTTTTTTCTTTCGTTTTGCAGAGAAAAATACAATAAAGATAATGCAGAGTTGTCTTGTTTGTGGAAAAATGAAGCATTTGGATATGAAATTGGGGCTAAGTATATTTGGGTATGGCTAAGTTATTGGAAATATTTTACTTTTTTTGGTTAAGTTTTAGGTTTAATTCAAGAGAGAAGAACGACAATCAATCTCATAGAAAGCCAAAGTTAGCTATTAATTAGATGAGAGATTTCTTGACCTGTCGCATACCTCTACAACATCTTCTCAAAATGAATCGTCCTTTTTTTTTCTTGAACAAAAAGTAATTGATTAAGAGATAAATGCCTCTTGAGCTACAGATGAAGGGTAGTCACCCTTAGTTAGGTTTAATAACCATAAAGGAAAAGAACGTTGCCAAAAGCACGTGGCAGCAGACAAAAAGCCATGTCTGGCAAGTGTGTGCGCAGATTGATTCCAACCACGAGAGATGTGAGAAAAACAAATTGAAGAGAAGGAAAGAGAAAGAGTTTCAATTTCCAGCAACCAATTTAGTGCATCTCCTAGAGTTGATCTTCCACCATTAATCACAATCTTTTGGACTAAAGGAAGTATATACCTTCCGAGAATCCCATTCTCCATTAGGGAGAATGTAATCTGCCACTTTGCTACCAAGGAAGAAGGATTAATAGGGAGCGGTTGGAAATTTAAAGGCATGGGAATCCATGGATCTATAAAGGCATCAATAGTTAAGCCATTACCAATCCTCATACGAAGGTTTTTAACTAATAAATCCTTTCCCCAAAGAAAACTCTTCCAAAAGTAGGAGGATTTCGACTTTGCCTGTGGCTTGAAGAACACCACTTTCCTGGAAGTAACAAGCTTTAAGGACCTGAGAGACCAAAAGATTCGAATGCCGCAAAACTCTCCAAAGTTGCTTCGCCAGTAAAGCTTGGTTAAACCCCTCGAGATCATGAAAATTTAGGCCTCGAAGTTCTTTAGGGAGGCACATAGTATCCCAATTCATCCAATGCATCTTCCTTTTGTCATTTGAAGAGCCCCACCAGAAGCCATCGAAGATTTGTGAAACTTCATTGCAAAACCGTTTCGGAAGCCGGAAAATGCCGATGGCATAGGATGAGATTGCTTGGCCAATGCTTTTTTATTAACACTTCTTTACCCCCAACTGAGAAGAAAGTCTGTTTCTATCCTTGCATTGACTTCCAAATTTTGTCCTTTAAGAACTGCTAATCCAAGCCTTTCCTTCTAGAGAAACAAGATGGAAGGCCGAGGTAGGAGCCAAGATTAGTTACCAGTCGGACATTAAGAATAGTTTGGAGATATTGTTGACGTTCAGGATGCACATTAGGAGAGAAAAGCAATGCAGAATTGGAGAGATTTATGCATTGACCAGAAGCCTTCCCATATCTCATCAAAATATCTTTGAGGACCAAGCATTCAGATTCAAGTGATCTAAGAAATATGAGACTGTCATCTGCAAAAAGAAGATGAGAGATATGGGGACAATTGTTCCCAAAAGAGATACCTGCAATATGTCCCATGTTGGTTGCGTTCTGGAGCAATATGGAGAGACCTTCCGCGCAGAGAAGAAAAAGATAGGGAGATAAGGGGTCACCCTGACGAATGCCACGAGATGGAGAAAAGAGTCCTCTAGGATGGCCATTCAGAATAATAGAAAAGCGGACCATTGAAAGACAGTTCATGATTTGGGTAACCCAAATGTGGGGCAAATCCCGATAAGCATGATACTTTCAATGTAGGTCCACTCAACCCTATCAAATGCCTTGCTCAGATCAAGATTCAGAGCTGCCAAACCACAATTGCCAGTCTTCTTATTTTTGATAGAGTGAAGGCATTCATTCCCAATGATAATATTATCTGAAATGGAGCGATTGGGAATGAAAGCCGACTGAGAGACAGAAATGACCGCATCAATTACCCGTTTGAGCCTGTTGGCAATGTCCTTCGTAATTATCTTGTAAGAAACATTACAAAGACTTATAGCACGGTAATCTGAAACAGTCTTTGGATGCTTGACTTTTGGAATGAGGGCAATGTATGTATCATTCCATTGTTGAATGGAAGTTTGGTGGTTTAGTATACTGAGACAAGCTGCCACTGTCTTAGGACCAACGGTACCCCAATATCGCTGATAAAAGAGTGTCGGAAAACCATCT